CCGGGAGTGTGGTAATTGGTTTGGGCGCAGGCCTCAGATGTTTTCATGATGTTTGATCAGTCACGTTACGACATGTTTTTGTATTGTTCATGTTCGTGCAATTTGTTAAATTGCCTTGCAAATAAATGCTTTGCTACCTGTTAAAGGCCAAATGCTTTCATGTAATGATTTTTACATGTCATTTATATTAGTTCACACAAACACTCCATCCGGGATGATCTGTTCCTGGCCCGGCCCCTCTGTCAAATTTTATAACGCATTGTGGCCCGCGAGTCAAAAAATTTGCCCACCCCTGGCTTAACCTCTCTGAAATGAATGTTGAACTTCTTCCGCACTGTACGTAGCCAACCGTGCTGATTTGGAGGTGGGGGGGGGGAAGGACAACAAACTAAACACAAAAAGCAGTTCTAAAGAAATACGTTTTTAATCTAGATTTAAAAGTGCATAGCTCCAGTGGCTTCCTAATATTGGAAGTAAGAACGTTCCAGACGACCGGGGAAACGCATCTGAACGCGTGCGATGCAGTGACCATGTTTGTTCGATGGTTAGCCACAAAAAGCAGCTCTAAGGAAATGAGTTTTCAATCTAGAATAGATAGCCACACGATCTTCCACATCTTTCGTACCAAGCGGAGTTGTGAACATGTCATGTTGTTTTCACGTTCCGGACGTGCAGTACCAGTGCCTTTTGGCTTCTGAGTTCCAGCGTTTTCGTGTGTGGGCTTTCTTGCGGAACTGGCAGATGTAAAAAGAAAAAAAACACGAGGAAACTGGTCTAACGTTTAAAGCAGACAGGAAAATAGGTCTTGAATGCTCATTAAGGGGTTCCTTCGGTAATACGAGTTTGAATTATTGTATATTACAGTGGTACCTCGGTATACATCGTTAATTCGTTCCAGAAGGTTGGAGGACTTATACCGAAAATGACGTAAATACCAAACGAATTTTTTCCCATAAGAAAATTAAGGGAAAGGAAATAATCCATTCCAGAGTATAAGAAATGATATTTTATATGGCATGTTGTACATTAATGCGGCTGTATAAAATAATGTAGACACTGCTTATTACTAAAACGCATACATAAATTAAAATAAATGCATAAATAAATTGAAATAAAAATTAAATTTAACGTCACTTTACCTTGCTGAGAGGAGTTAAAATGACAAAAAAACACCACGTGAAAATTGACAGTTATAGCTAGGGTTGTGCACTGAACGAGATCTACAGGCAGACTGAGGAGCGGTGCTTTGTTTCAGTCGTGAACGGGGTCTACGCGGACACGCGGTGACTCATCCCGACCCATACAAGTTCGAGCAAGCGCGTCCTATCCCAAGACATTCTTTTCTCGTCAAAACACGACGTGTACCAAATTCGACGTATTCCAAAGCGGTCGTATACCGAGGTATGACTGTATAAGTGAGTGTGAGAGATACTGCCGCAGTGTAACGGAATTTCGACCCAGGGGTCACCGATTCGATCTCCCAGTGCAGCAGCTGAGACAATGGGGCGAGCGGGACATAGTGAGTTGATGGAGAGTTTTGCGTATCGTGGGGTAAAGCGTGAGTACTCCGACCTTCTAAGTTGTCTCGGCCAGCGCATGGAAGTGGTTCACTGTGGAGCTCCCCCCTGGTCCGAGGCCCTTCTACCAGCAGTGGAGTGATCGAGGCATTGCAGGGCTGCACTCTCATATATATCTACCCGTTCTACGGGATGAAAAATCCGATTCTTCATACGTTGGCCACCGACACGCCCCGACTGGACAAGATTGAACTCCGTCCTTTTTACAGGGTCTAAAGACCCAGCTTGCTGTGCTCAAGTTAATGATGGTAGAGGTAACTCAAGTGTCATGTAAAATTCCTTGGAGGTGGTCTCGCCACCAATTCGCGTTAATTTACGTTATAGTCGCACAAATCGCCATCAGACTTTTGGGTGGCAGGATAAGCCAAGCCAGAAGCGATGTTTGCACATAAATGACGAATGCCATTGACTTGTATTCGTTCTTCAAGGCTCTGAAAGTTACCCTTTTGTGCTCCGTGGACGTTGCGCGCGTGCCATACGATTTGCCGGCATCTGTCTGTGAGCTAATTGCCTCGCAGCAAAAGCGATGAATCCAGGGGCACTCCATGCACAGCATCTCAGGCGCCACGGCACGCGGGCTGACTGACCGTAAGAAGAGCCTTCATTGTTGGATAGTTCCTTTTCATGTTGTGTTTAAAAAACTAAAATTCAACACTACGCATTGCGTATCAAATAATAATAATAACAATAAAATTTAAAAAATGAAGCCCCCTACCGCAGGCGGCAGCGTGCGCCGTATCGGCCGTGGGAGTTGTTTGACCACCGCGGTCGCTGTGAGTGGGCAAAGGGGTGCCCAGGACCAGTTTCAGGGGTGCAACTACTGTGGGGGGGTGGGGGTTATGTGGCACCGGTACGTGTCGCATAGCGGCCCAGGCGGCCACAAGGTAGGCCGCCGCCAAATCAACAGATATACATGTAAACAAAAATGTAAATAAATTTTACTTGAAAAAAATGAGAACTAATATATATCATCATACATAATAGATGTTTTTGGTTCGGATCGTTTAAATATAAATGTGTCCGTTAAACCCGCCACCACCTGACACAGCCAATTAGTAAGGTTTGTCACGTAAACTAAACATGCCAATTCGTTACGAGTTCAGCACACTGGTGCGTTGGAGAGTCAATTCACAACATTTACAATTCAAATACCGTGACGTTTCGCCAGTAATTACAACTAGCATCATCAGGCAACAGCCAGAGTTGTGGATAAATCCTCCTGTTTCAACGTGTCAAACTGATATACAGTAAAACCTTGGATTGCGAGTAACTTGGTCTGCGAGTGTTTTGCAAGACGAGCAATTTTTTTAAATAAATATTAATTTGATAAACGAGCGAGGTCTTGCAATACGAGCAGCACGTATACGCTTTGTACTGCCGAGCGTCACGTGATCACAACTGATATGTAACGAGTGCTTTGATATGCGAGTGCTTTGGATTACAAACACGTTTCCGGAACGAATTATGCTCGCAATCCAAGGTTTTACTGTATAGTTATAGTCTACATATTATTGTATACGGGTTAAAAACCATCTGTTGCTATTTCAATAAAAGTTAGTCGGGAGAAAGGAGTGGCGGGTGGGGGGGGGCGCCCACAGTCGTATCTTACATAGCCCCCCCCCCCCCCCCCCCCCCCCCCCCTCGTTTAAATCGGTCGTTGCTCCGCTATCACTCGCCACTGATGTTGGCCGTGGCTGAGAATCGGAACTGGGGTTGCCGTGTTCGTGGCACAGTGTCGCAGTCCACCGCAGTCCACCGCTTCTTCACCGGTGCCTGTCAATGTTTGCGTTTTATTGAGTCGGCGGGTACCGAATCTGCCTCGAAATCGTTAATGAATGCTTATTACTAAATAATGTTATTTTTCAAATGACTAATTATAAATGTATTGCGCGCTTAAAATGAGTTATCTGTATTACGCTGTGTGCTGTTCCTAGGCAGGCCGTGATTGCTTAATCGAGTGGCTTTAATGAGCGTAGCCTCATTTTGCCGCACGTAGATCATTTATAGAGAGGGCCCCATTTTGTATTTATTCAGTCTGTATAATCTCACCGAAGTTAATTTGGCCTCGTTGGCTAAGGCTGTAAAAAATGGATCGATTCTTCAAACAACATCGATGCTTATGCTCACGGAAGGTACATTTCGTCTTGCGAGTCTGATGTAAGTAATGGGTTCACTTGACCCCTGCAGCCATTAGTGGCCGCTACAGCCCAGTGGCTTGTGCAAAACCCGGCTCTGGACCATCACTGGGTGTGGTGTGGCGCACATTTGTAATGCAGAGCCTTGGAGGTGGGGTTGTTGGGTCACGCAGAGATCATTTTGTACTGTGAGATTCCTTACCTGCAGTATTTGACATAACCCTTATGTGGCTTTACGTGTGTATGTTGAACGTCTTTCAACACCGTACGTAGCCAACCGTGCTAATCGGAGGTTGCGGGGCAAGGACAACAAACTAAACACAAAAAGCAGTTCGCGAGAAATGAGTTTTCAGTCGGCATTTAAAAGTCCACAGCTCCGGTGGCTTCCTAATATCGGAAGGAAGAGCGTTCCAGACGGCCGCAGAAGCGCGTCTGAACGCGTGCGATGCAGTGACCACCACCGTCTTTGCTCGATCGCCAGCCAAAAGCTGCTGCGAGGATGACCGGAGTTCGCTCGATGGTTTATGCTCCTTAAACGAGATCGGCAAGCTATTGTGGTTCAGTTTCAGCAGGCACTTCGTGTGCAATGAGTGCGACCTTACAATGTTCGGCAACCGAAAGCCAATGGACCTCAGCGAGCACTGGACGGGCACGGTCAGATCTTGCCGTACCCGTCATGACACGTGCCAGATAATTTTGTACACACACTGCGGCTTGCCAGCCATGCCTTAACAAAATATGCGCGTTCTCGGAATGGACTGTTATGTTTCTTCAATCCCATTGTTTTCTTCATCGCGTAGCATTCACATCGATTATTTGTAAAGGTTAACTTATATGTCATTCATACCGGGAGTCCTGTGCCATGGAGGCACTTGCACGATATTACTCGGGTCGAAATCCCAAACCCACTGGACTGCGAAGTGGCGAACAGATGGCAGTAGAGAAAGTGGGTTGCTGTTATATCATCTCTATACGGGTTTTGTTTAACGTTATCTTTATGCGTGTGGAATTCCTTCAGACACACTGGCTAACCTCCTTCATGCAAAACGAACTGGTCAAAACATCTCAGTGCAGGGGCTCCTGAAAGCTTAGATTTCGTGGATAAGAAAAAGTATATTACGAGTGTTTATCGCGGTCCCCTGAAGGCAGTGCACCTGGCAATGTCACTCGCAGCCGCCGCCGGTGTGTTCGACGTTGTGGTTTACCGTAGAGCCAGATTGACGCTTGCCTGGTTCTTAATGAAGTCCACGAGGAATTCACCGGTGGCGTCCGTTCTTGTGCTTTGCAGCGCCGATTGGAGGATGCAGCCAAAAAGGCCATTGGACAGATCCCGTCGAAGACCATCAAGAGGGGCGATCGGGTACGCCCGCACTGCGCGTGATATCACAATAGGGTTTACCCTTTCTAGCAATAAAACAGTTGTGTTAAGATACTCTTTGGTTCCTTCGGTAAAGTCACGTGACTTTACCGAAAGAACCAAAGAGTGTGGATGCCTGCAGTCGCGGAAGCTTCAAATCAGGGTGTTAAGATGTTAAAACGCCAAACGGAATCATTTTTTTCAAGGATTCCTGTCTGCATTAACCACACGTACTTGCGGTGAACGTGAAAATAAAAACACATGCTCTGATAATTCATGCATTGTCTTTGAAACTGATTGGCCCAAACCAGAGATGGCTTTTTTTTTTGCCTAGTCTCAAAGTGTTAGACCAGAGAAAGCCAAACGGCGAAAAAAGGATTCTGTTTGGTGTTTTAACATCTCAACACCTATTTTATTTCCTGAAAGGGTCAAATCTATTGTTCTATTTTGATACTGGCAAGAAAGGTCCCATTCTGCGTGTGATGTTTGCATCAGCCACCACAACACACTCGGCTTGCGCCATTGCGTAGTACAATATAAAAAAAGGCCAAAGTGATGATCCGCACAAATGTCCATTTGAGGTGGTTGCTCATCACCGGTTCACAGCCAGTGGTGGTAATTCCCCTTTTCCTATGACGGGAGTGAGTGAGTCCAGCCATAGGACAGCCACTGTTGACCTCCCTGTGAAGTGGTGCCTGTTTTAAGTCACCCCGGAGGGACGATGTGACCGCCTAGTCAACAACCGCCAACCAGGAGTTGAACTCGTAAGCCTTCGACCGCGACGCCGCTCGCTCTGCCATCGGCCGTCTTCGCATGCGCGCACCGTCACGCGCGCCCCCCTCGTTGTCAGTTACCGAAAATGTATCACTCGGATATTTCAGCCTACTGCCCGCGAGTGATAGTTTTTTTGTTTTTTGCAGACGTCCCTCTGCAGGGACGGTACAGCACATTTTTGATTGATATACCATCTAAATGAGGCCACATCTTAAGACGCTGGCAATGAATTTCCAATACGTGAGGGGTAGGCTGATGACTCATCCATATGGATTCTTGAATGTCCGTGTGTTTTCGCAAGGCACTCTGATGTCCTCACCACACGGAAATACTAATTAAGTTAATTGGCCAAACATTCCCTCTTTAAAAATGAGGAATTTCCACCACTAACCCAGGTTTGCCAAAGAAAATGGGTGTCCCCCCCCCCCCCCCTTTTCTCGTTTGAGCATGGATAAATTTTGACTTTGAACGACATCATGAGGAAAACACTCTGATGTGCTGTCGGACGTTTCACTCTGTGCTGTGACCTGCTTCTGTTCCTATTCAGAACAACCGTGAAAGCCTACGCAGAAACATCGCTTGAACGATAAAAACGTGCTTGCTCATACACAGCTTCATCCCGATTGCCTCCCTTAGCCTGTGCAATCAGCACGTTCCCTGCCCCGCGCTGCCCCCGCGCTGCCCCGTACAACCGTGTGAGCGTCGCTCTCGGCCACCTCTGCCGTCTGCAGGAGACGGAGACGGACTTTGACAACTGTGCCGTGTGCATTGAGGAATACAAGCCCAGCGAGGTGGTGCGGATCCTCCCGTGCAAGTACGCAGCACGCACCCTACCCTGCACACTCCAACGCACACTCCCCCGCACACTCCCCCGCACACTCCCCCGCACACTCCCCTGCACACTCCCCTGCACACTCCCCTGCACACTCCCCCGCACACTCCCCCGCACACGCCCCCGCACACGCCCCCGCACACTCCCCTGCACACTCCCCTGCACCTCCCCTGCACAGTCCCCTGCCCACTCCCCTGCACACTCCCCTGCACACTCCCCTGCACACGCACTCGCGCGCACGCCCGCCCGGTGCTCCCTGTGCCATCGAGCAGTCAATATATGTCACCCACCGAGATGTCAGAGAGGCGCACTAGCCTGGCAGTGTTTCTGATCGTATAACAGCACAAGTGCATCGATGTCGGGTGTGTTGCCCCGTCGGGAGTTGCGGTGCTTATCTGCGAGCCAGGTCCGAGCACTGTAGCTGGGATAAGTTTTTTGTCGGCAAGTCGAGGTTAGTGGTGGAAATTCCACATTGCTCGGCAGGTGGAGACCCAGCCTCATATGGGACAACCACACAATGTCATTTTATTGACCCCAAATGGATGATGTGGCTGTCGCAACGCTCCAGCCACATCATCATTTAGCTGGTTGACTTGGAATATGCTGCAGTCAGGGGCGGAGCCACAGGGGGTACTGGGGGGGGGCTTTGCCCCCCCTGAAATTTTGGGAAAGTCGGTAATCGGGATAACCGGATATCCAGCTGCTGCAGAATGCTGGCTGCCACCTTGTGCTGCCCTGCAGGCTGCTTGAGCGGCAGCCTTTCGACCTTATCGAACTTATTGGCCACATCAGCGGCTCCGACCTATTAATAAACTCCGCGTTCAAATCGAATAAAATTTGTTTTATACATTTGTGGCACCCGTTGGAAAACATAAACACTGGATATCTCAGAAAAGTCAGCCCCCCCAAAGTCAAAATCCTGGCTCCGCCCCTGGCTGCAGTAAAACCAATCATTTCTGCCCCTCATAGTTTATGACGCTGGGAAGATATTTTTTTAATAATTATCATAATCGTGCACATTTTGTAGCAGATGATGATTTGAAGTGCTCTACGCTGGTAATTATATGCAGACAAAATGAAATGTTGGCCGAGGTAAAAATAATTAAACCAGCTTAGTTGAATAGTGTACATACTGCTTCATTAATGGTGTACAGTAAGCCAGTGGATTTTTCCTTGAGAGTGACAGGCCCTTAATTAAGCACACTTTTTTATTACATGAGCTTAAGGATAAAATATATATATACTGGAGTTGGTGCACATGTGTGTGTGTGTATCTATTATCCCTATTATTGTACGAATTCATCGTCTCAGGCACCACGCTACAATCTCAGAAAATCCAGGCTCAGTACTCCGTCAATAACATACATACGTACAACAACAATAATAATAATTGCAATGTGGCCTAGATCTACGGTAGGTTGACTTGGCCTAAATGTAGTACTTGATCCTCATATGGTGTATCAATGCTGAGAAGTCAACAGTGGTTTGGTGTGTTTTTTTTTCCGGCCACACCACCAGTACATGCACCGTGCCAGCATTACTCACTAACAGCACTTGACCTAACAGTCTTTAAGGCTAAACAGGTGAGCTTTGTTTCTTTGTTTCTTTGTGTGTGTGTGTGTGCTTCGGAGAGGCTGTGGAGGGGTTGGCACACTGACGTATGATTTTTGGTGACCTAGGTTTGATCCCCGGCCATGTACAATATCAGAGGGAATATAGTATCTGAGCATGCCCCCTGTGTGTCTCCAATAGGCTAGCTCGGTCTTGAACGTGAGTACATGGTTGAGGTATCGGGATTACTCAGAGGTCAGAGCGCTGAGCTGGCATTGCTGAGATCGGAGTTTTGAATCCAGGCAGCCACCCGTGATTAAATTGGGTTTTCAAATGGAGCCACTTTATGATTTTCAGCTCGGTGACCAATAACTGCATGCGGAAAAAAAACAAGCATATACAATTATTTTATACTTTATTGTGGCAGAATTACAGCTCAAGAATTGAAAATATTGGTTTGACTATCATGTGACAATTTCTTGGCAGAGTGTGTAGAATCATGTGCCCACTGCTTCGCTTTGTAAAGGATAACGAGGCCACTTAAGCGATTTTTGGTCATTCTGTGCCATGAACATTTTTCCCATGACGAATTCCAATACACATGCTGCTGCTGCTGCTGCTGCTGCGGGAGGTTTCCAAAAGGATTCTCCCTCTCGTGACGACAGCAACACGACGACACAAGTGAATCGGGGGGGGGGGGGGGGGGGGGGGGAAAGACGTCGACAAAAAAAATGACACGATTCTGTGCACGCAAATCAGCATCGCGTGGACATGCGCAGTTACACGTCTTACTGCCCACGTCTGCCCCCTTCGTATGCCGTGCCACCCGGCAGTCCCACAGCCAATGCGGCAGCATGGGCAATATTGCAATACGATGCGTCGTAGAATTCTCGTGAAGACGGTGCAGCACGGGCAAGATTCGCCTTTTTAATTCACACCTAGGTGCCCTCGTGGCTTTTATACATCTCGGTTAAAACCTGAGCTACTGCAGCCTTGGCGAGAGAATGTGGCATGGCTACATGCTGCTATAGATATGGGCACGGCATGCCGTGGTAAAATTAGTTTGCTCTATATTCAGCTGTTAAAGCGTGCGTGGAGAGGTGCATTGACGACGAGCACTTTACAGTCCCGAGATATGACTGCCCGTTTCAATACCACCATCGTCATTAAAGCACACATTACCGTGCGCGAGAGTCTACAGCGTTAATAAATGTGAGCAGCTGATTCTTATTGCCCAATAATTGGTGCCATGAAGGAAAATGCATTGCTACAATAATGTGAGGCAGTCTTACGTCCTAATTACCAGCATTTTGAGATCACTTATACGTTTTATGTACGTATTACCGTGATAAAAGGTTTGCTTTGGCCAATAATTATTTTAAATATTTAGGCAGCATTCAAGGTCAGCTTTACTATACGCGGTGGTCCTTACGTTGGAGCTGCCGTAATGACGATTCATAGAAATAAACACTCGGTAATGAGCATTATTACGACTCTGAGAGCACTTTGTGGTTCTTAGCAATTGGAACGGTGCTGCAAATACTGTTTTACTGCCTGTGTGGTGGCATGGTTGATCATGATCGCCACTACTCATAGCCGGCAGTACTAGCCCGTGCCAGGAGGGGAGCAGCAGAGAGGCCGGACCGGCTTCATAGTGATGATGGGCTGTTGGCCCTAGGCAATCCCTGGGGGGGGAGCATTGTTACCAACGGTCGGGGACCCCAGACCCCAGGCAGGGGGGCTGGGGGATAAGGTCATTCTCCAGGCCCTTGGAGAAGGTTCTGGAAGGGATAGGTGGCCAGGGGCGGAGTGACCCGGCATCCTGTATAAAAGCCAGGTCCCCGAGGGGTCAAGCTCGGTCATCATCCGGCCGAAGACCGAAGAGGCTCGGGTCGGCTCGAGCTCGTACCAGTGAGAGCTCCCGCTTATAACCAGTGAAGACTCAATAGAAGTCTCAATCCCCAGCAGTGTAGGCGTAGTGATAGCCATCATATACCCGCAGGGTCTTGTTTTGTTTGTAAAAAAAAAAGTGGTATACCCCGCGGGTTATATGTGAGAAAATGCGGTAAGTCTGTTGCAAGTTTATATGAGGTACAAAAGCAACAATGAGAGGTTTTTTTTGGAAGGAAACCATCGCGCCCAGATATCAACGACATTGGCCATGATGATCTCTTGACTTGTGTGTGTGTGTGTTATTGTGTCTTTGTCTTTTGTTTTAAAGGCACATGTTCCACAAGACCTGTGTGGATCCATGGCTCGTGGACCACAGGACATGTCCCATGTGCAAGCTCAACATCCTCAAGGCTTTGGGCATCCTGGTGAGTGGGAGTCCGTGTGTGTGTACACAAAGGGGGGAGCGGTAGTGTAGCGGTTATCTCGCTGCACTACGAACCCAACGACCCGAGTTCGATTCCCCCTCTCGGCCAATACCAGTGATGGTTATCTGAACTGGTCCTGGGCTCTCCCCGAGGTCGACTCGGCCTCAAATGAGTACCTGGTACGGTGTGTAAACATTGCCACAAGAGAGACAAAGGCGGCCGAGCGTAGGGCTGGCCACCCACCCCCTCGCGTGCCGTGCCGGACATCATAGGTGGCCGCTAACAGCACTTGCGCCTACAGTCTGTTCAGGCTATACTGTGGATCTTGGTCTTTGTCTTTGCACACAAGGGGGCTATATTAGCTATTAAAGGAAGTCTATCGTGTGTTTTTCCCAACCATTGTGCCATTTAGTAATATTGATATTTGTATTTCTTTGTCAATGTCCGCGCCCGTGTGACGCTGTCGATTTGCCACCGCCCTTATTCCCACGACAGAAGGAAACAAAAGTGTGGGGCCCCCTACCGCTAGAAGGCTGCCTGTCAAGCTGCGCCTCCGTGAGCGAGCAGCAGTAGCAGCAGCAGCAGGCAGCGTACGTGCGTGTGTGGTAACTCCCATGGATAAAGTAAAATAATTCTGCAGTTGTCATTTCTCCCGCCCTGCCCTGCGATGTGATTAGTGCACCGGGCTTGTCAGGTTATCCTTTGGGATATTTGTTGTTATTTCACCACTCAGGCCTGAATGGCGACGTAGCTCACCGCCTGTTTGTGGATAGCGTTGCTGGCAGCGTGCTTGATTCACAATTGGAAGGTCAGAGTTTAAATCCTGGTTGGGGGCAGAAGGAGGGGGGGGGAGTGTTGACTTGGTCAATCATCCTTTTTTTGGGGGTAAATCAAATAAGTACTGCATCATGACAATAGTGGTTTTGCTTTTGAGAGACTGCCCTCTGCCATTGCAATGGGGAATCCGCACCTCCTCGCTAACGGCCTCCCTGCGGATATGAGCACGCATTCTCCAATGCTCATACTCGCAGAGAGAAACTGTTGAATTAACCACCCTGCGTTCACTCAGACTTAAAATACTTCACCGCCATGGTGTTGTACACAGAGTGAACTTTCCCATCTGGCCCATGCGTCTGCTGCTTTCTGTTTTCATGATTTATTTGCTCCTCTCGCTTTCACATTCATGGCGGTTGTTGGCTGCCATTCCAAAAACGCACTTTTGTCCGTCTATCGATCATCATCCCTTCCAGTAATGTGTCTTTGCCCAAGTTCACTTGTAATTGTTAACATTGAGAGCAGCGTTTCGGATCTTTTGCCATCTCCCCTAATCCACGTGTTTGTGAGTAAAGTCCTCGGGGGGGGGGGGGGGGGGGGGGTAGGAGTGTTGGTTAGAAATTTGGGAGGGCAGTGAATTCATGTTGCGTTTGCTTCGGAGTAAAGAGCTTCTCAACAGAGCCATTTATATTCTTGTTGTTTCTCTTCAACGTGACTTTACCGAAAAAACTAAGAATATGAATTACTGCAGTCACGAAAGCTTTAAATCAAAACAGAGCCATTGTTGCACTGAGTGGGATTCACTTTGCCAAGGCAATAAGGCTGGATTTTGTTCTGCCGATAATCTTTCCCTCCTCGCCTGTTTACTTTCTCTATTGACACGCACTATCTGCAGGAGCTGAGCTCCTCCTGTGCAGATGAGTAATATTTCATGAATTGACCTGGGATTCATGACTCCAGCTTTCTTCGTGCCGTTATCTAAATTAAAATACGTGACTTCTTTGAATCCTCTAAGCCGTCGCTGATAATGACGAACAAAATTGGAAGCATGTTTGACAGCGTGCAGGCTTTCCTAATTAATATTTAGCCAGCCGTGGTTTTACAACTTAATATCCGAGGCGACTTTTATAAAACAGTCCGCCTACGCAATCTGCAACGGAACGATGGCCCTTTGCGAGGCTTTTGGCAGCAATTTGAGAACAATAAAAATGTCACTTTACTGCTTTGTGAAATGAAAATTTCGATGAGAAATAGCAATTGGTTTATAAGTTGTTGCATTTTGTTGAATTAAGAACAAACAAAAAAGTGAACTTGCGTGAAAATGAAGCGGTGTGTTTCTGAGCTGGACTGTACCATCATCACTTGATCCCTTTTAAACGTCGCCATGCGGATACCAATGTGTAGTGGCTGCTCGTCTCTGTTTTTGGCCCCGGGCCCAGCGGTGGAAATTCCACATTCCATGTCAGGGGCCAGTCTAAAAAAAAAAAACAACCTTTGACTTCCCACCAGCACTGCCGAGTTCACTCTGAAAACAATGGCGGAGCCAGAATTTTCAGGTAGTGGGGGCAACCCCTCCAGCAATGAAAAATGATAGACCAGTTGTTGGTGAGTAAGCACTTGTCCCTTGCTTTTTATTTGACGCGCGTGCGGCGATGGTGCAGCCATCGATGGAGGGTCGAATTCAAACCGCGTTGTTAGTGATCGGCATCGCGCTCGCTGAAGGTGTCGATGCCTTCAGGGAAGTCGTGCACTGTATACGCAACTGCGCACAATTCTGTGAGTCACTTATAACCGCTTTGCCGTTACTTATTGCCAATTACGGACTCAGACTATTGTCCTATCATCTCATAGAGTCCCTGGCACGTAATAATATGCTACACAGTGGCAGTGGGGGCCGCAAAATGCCGATTTATTACTAATAAACCCCAATGATCCGATCAAACTTAGGGATTTCAATCGGATCATTGGGGGGGGGGGCACGTGCCACCCCTAATCCGTCATTCTATCTATCAGCTACACCACCTTCAGTGCCACCCAGCTGCATTAATTTAATCGCGCGCGCGGGCGGGCCCCTGTAGCCGCGGTAACGCGCACGAGCGTTCGTTCCCATCGGCGTGAATTCAGAAACATCGTGGGGGAGAATGGGGCTGATTAACATTTTGGCAGCATTCGCAGTGGCGTGAAGGAAACGGGTGATGGCTTTGTTTATTAAAATAACCCTGCTGTTATGCTTATTTACGGCAGCTCGTAGGTTTGCGTCTGTGCCCAAGCATCCGTGATGTGTTCAGCCTCGTGCGATTAGAAAGCCAAGCAGGTTTGAGCCCTAGATAGTGCCTTGATAATTGACTGCAATGCCTGCCGCCAGGTCGTCGTAGGCGACCGCGGGGCTGTGCTACATTAGCGGGCGGCAGGAGCGGTGAGTGCAGCGAAGGCCACTCTTGTGCTGTACTTCCGTGCTTCCGTTTCTTTGCTGTGCCCACTTTACCCGTCCGGAACTGAACAGCGTCGTGAAGTATGGGCAGCACCGCAACCCACGGGGGGAGGCCCTCATCCAGCAGTGGATTGACAATGGGGCTGTACATGCACATAGCCTTGCATTTGCCACCGAATAAATGGCCGTGAGTCCCAGGCCATGAACATTACGCATCGACCGGCCCACTACACTCTGTTGCGAGATATTACGCTTCATATGAAAGTCAACGGAAACTATTTTTTAATTTTCCAGGTAAGGCCCGCTGAGCTGTACAGCTCTTTTTCAGAAGTGATCTGGCCACGAATGATATCTCAACGAAGTGGCTCATCACATGGATATTTATTGCAGGCAAATACTCGGAATGCACGTTGATTCTAAATGTGGAGGGAAAAACCGGAGGACCCGGAGAAAAATCCACACAACTACAGGGAGAACATGCAAACTCCAAATTTACAGGCGTCGGGGTCGAAATCAACCCACGACCTCTTGTATACCAGGCGAGGTAGTTAACATCTTACCACTGCGGTGCCCCATATCTCCGCTTAGCATTTGAGAAAGCCACTGAGTGGATCGCTAAACTAGATGTCCCCCTGTAAGCAATCTCCCTTTGTACGACAAGAAGAAACGCACCACCCGGGGTTGTTTTCTGTCCAGATGTTTGTGTTTACACTACGTGGACTGCACAGCTGATGCCATTGGCTCAGAAGCTGGTACAGTCTCGCAGTAAAACAAAAACAAATCTCAACACTGCTGTTGCTTTGTGTGCCCCCCCTAATGAAGCCAACCGCTGATTACTGGGCAGGCTTTGTAAAGTGGGGTTGGTGAATCAAACGGGAAGGGTCTTTGCCATGCGATGATACTCTCAGCTTTTCTCCGTTTGAAGATGGCTAGTTTAGCCAGGTGGGTTGCTGACCCATCTATGGATTTTGGAGTTTATCCTCTTGTATCTCCTCGTGTATATGGGATTCCGCTCGGAATATGTATTTCTTTCTCCATATAGGGCCCTCCTTAAAATAGTCGTGTGACTCCGTTCTGTAAAATTACAGAACTATTAATGTTATGGCTAATAAGTCAGCTGGTGAGCATAGCACATCGGGAGAAGGTTAGAAGGGATGATGGCTGATGGACAAGATTGGTCTTGGGATGGCTGCCAATGGAGAGGGCACGTCCACAGGGATGAAACGGATGCGATCAGCTCATGCTGGATTGTTGCAGGACCGTGAGGAGATGAAAAGGGCATAGGGAGGTCTTCATCCAGCAGTTGGATATAGAATGGCTAATGACGATTTTTATTTTTCGCTTGTTTACTCACGAAAGCCTCAATGAATCGCGCAACTCGTTTTCGGGAGGGTCCTGCCAAGTTTGCCAAGTGTAATCCTAAATGAGTAATCTGCAGGTATATTGTTTTAGCATTGGGATGTTTGGCCAATTCCCGGTTACATAGTGTGTGTGTGTTTAGCTATGGGAGAAACTCGAGAAACCCAGAGGAAACCCATGCAGAACAGGGGGAGAGCAGATCAACTCCAAATATAAAGGCGTCCGAGTCTGGAATCGAATCCAGACCCTTTTCACTGTGGTGTCTCACAGAATCCCTTTTGAATTCTCTAGGGGGCTTGAAGGTCCATACCGTAGATTACATGTGTAATGTTAATGTGGCACTCGTTAGATCATTTAAAGGGTCTCCAACCATTGTGAAGATCAATGTGCTCTGGTCACAGTACACAATTATGCCTAAAAGCATTTCAATTGGCCC